TAATCCAAGAGAAGCAAAAACTGGGAATAATCGTGATTTTGAGATTGGACACGGAACAATCTCTAGCAAAGATATTCTGCAGCAGTATTTTTTATACACAGTCTTGATTTTGTTTCAACAGTGCCTCCGAACCAAGGCCGACAGAGACCACTCTTTGCGAGGAGGGGACATTATGAACGGCAAAGGGTTCAAGTGCCGGTAAGAGCTGTGTGATTTATGTTCCAGTCAAAAGTAGAACGTAGCAATAATACTGTCATTGTTATGCTCCCAAATTGACTTCTGTTCTCTTCACTTCCTAGAAGCCCAAAGTGGTCCCTGTTCGTCCAAATAAAACATCCAAAAAAGTCCCACGCAAACCTATGAAGGACAAGTGCTCTCAGCTTAAACAAAGCTGTTTGCCGCTGTCCAGCTGCTGTGACACCAATGCCACATGCCACTGCCGCTTCTTCAACGCTATCTGCTTCTGCCGGAGGACCAAATCGTAATATGAGGAGAGAACACAAGGAACACCGGTACAACCAAAACTGAGACGCAAAGATAAACTTAACAGGGCAATGAACATCAGCCATGCCAAAGTTGAGTTATTTCAGTTTATTCAACCACTTCAATACACAGACAGATGCGTCATATGGATGGGACGATAAGCATCATCCATACCAAAGCACATTTATACCTCTTGTGAAAGGCAGCTGATGGAATAAACTATCCAGCTTAAGAGTAAGCTTAAACTCTCTTTAACTATATAGTATATTTGTTTTATATTATTTTATGTGTATTATATAATTTACAACATTATTATACTGTATTTGTTTTGATTTGTTCAAATTGTGTAAATGACATGTTCCATCTTTAGGTATGGGACTGTAACAGTAGTCTTAGCAAGTAAGGGGAAGACAGAAGACAACAGTTCATGACAATATGGTAAGGCACAAGTGGTTGGTTTGAGCATCAATAATATTTGTATTAAGAATATACAGGCACATTTCTGTTTTAAAAAAAGGTTTATTATCTCAAATAATTTGTTAGGACCAGCTGCAAAAAGCAGGTTAGCATGACAGCAATGTATTGATCTACTCGATTTATGTATACTTTTATGACTGTGGATGATTTATGTATTTCTTTGATTGGTGGTTAAATGGTTAAACCATACACCCCAGCACGTGCAATCCGCTTTGCATCAGCCAAACGGCTCGCTGCACCCTCACTGCGAGGGGAACCCAAGTTCCCATCAGCAAAAACACGTCGGTTTGCTATCCTGGCTCCAAAATGGTGGAATGAGCTCCCCATTGACATCAGGACAGCAGAAAGCTTACACATCTTCCGGCGCAGACTGAAAACTCATCTATTTCGACACGACTTCGAGCAATAAAATGAAAAACAGAAAACAAAAAACTAAATAAAAAGCACTTATATACTAACAAAGCACTTATATAGTAACAAAGGACTGGCTTATCTAAAGCCAGTTGAGTAGCACTTAAAATGTTTTTGGCTCTATGAAACCTAATGTACTTATATGATTCTGTTTTCTTCAAGTTTGTATCTTCTTTGTCGAATGCACTTATTGTAAATCGCTTTGGATAAAAGCGTCAGCTAAATGAAATGGAATGGAATGGTGACACCCAAGGGTTTTGTATAAAACTAAAAAAGGTATTAAATATATTTTTTGAGATTTTTGGAAAATACTTACTTGCGCTGTAAAGGTAATTTAGATAGACATCAATAACTGCTGCACTGTAAATATGAAGCCAACAGCGGTTAGCTTAGCTTAGCATAAAAGACTGCTCATGGCTTTCCTGGCTCAATATTAGATTTATTTACTACAAGATTATTCTGGCCAAAAGAGTGATACAAATATTGTGATACCTATAGAAAATAAAACAAATGCTTGGTTTATTGTGCACTTTGTCTATTTTTTTGCAAATGAATTACACTAATTTGTGCATGAGCGGTGAGGAGGAGACATAAAAGGAAGAAACTGAATTTATATAAAAGGTGCAGAACTATTTCTACTATAATGAATCTAGTAAATATATATAGTGAATGTTACAAGAAAAGGTAAACAAATTAAGACAGAAACACCAATAAAGCTTATCAATTAAAAGGATATAGCACTATTGTGTTTGCTTAATCTATGTAAAAAGTACACAATGTGGGGTTACATGCTGCAGTAACTACAGAAACAATTTGTTTTATTTATTTCGTTGGCACTTATGGTAAAACTCTTTATCAGGGCCAATTTAATACATTCCGCTCTAGTGATAGCTGTGTGTGTGTGTGTATTTGGGAGCAAACATCTTTGCTGTCATGGTGAAAGGTGCTCTGCCCTACATTCCTCCATTCCCTGTCTGTAATTAACTTCAAAGAAAAAAAAATGCTAACAGGAAGACATATTCTATAATAACAGAGAATAATAGCCAGCAAGAGGGTTGTTAGAGCAGGTATATCATTTAGTTGTAGGTGCGTGTGAGTGTATTATTGTGCTGGGTTTAGTACACTCAACTTTGACAACTTCTCACACTACATAGCAAAAGAGAGTTACTGCCTTGGAAAATAGTGTTTTTTTTTAACAGCATACATTTAATTACTTTAATTATAGCTGTGTGTGTTTGTTTTGTTCCTGGCTGCCATTAACCTGGACCCAACCTGACAGTAAACCTGGCTAAATGGGCCGCCCCTCCCTACAGGCCAATCACAGAGGCTGCATGGGGCCCCGCCTTGCGCAGAGGGCCTCAGCTGCTGTTCTCAGTTCTCCGCTCAGTTCTCCGCTCACCCCCCGCGAGAGTGAGAGAGAGGTGACGGAGCACGTCTGTAACCCGACACCGTTGCAATGAATCGACATCTGACCAATCACGGCTTTGATACGGCCACTAGTGCAGGTGAAGAGATGACGGCGAAAAGACAGTTTCAGTCCGGCGCAAGCAAGAGGGGAAAAAAACAAAACATGAAGAAACTAGAGCATCACTCGAAGGTGGGTTATTGTATGAGTCAAATGTACAACTTGCGAATGTTGTATAAGTCAAATTGCCAATTGCCATATTCAAACATCAGCTGCAATTCAAGACATGAAGAAGGCAGTCTCTGCATAGAATATAGGCTAATGGAGATGCAGTTATTTCCAGCATTCTTTATTTACCACTCATTCAAGTATGTTATGCCTTTTATCTGCTAATGTACAGGAGGAAGAGTGATAAACTGTCTGTCTAGTTGGCTTACATAAAAGTTAAAGTTTACAGCCTAAAAAACATGGAGCATTTTTTCCCCTTTTATTCATTTTTATGTTTTTATTTGCAAATGTCATGGTGATGCTCAGCCTCTCCCCTTCACTCTTAACAGTCATCATGTCAACCACAACACAGAGAAATACTGATAGAAATGTGTGTGTAGTTGTTGATACATTGCTGACAGAGGGAACTACATTTGAATATAGATTTAAGAAATATCAGTTTTTGAGCATGTAATAAGCATGTTTTGTCTTGACTATATTACAACTATATTATAATAATATAATATAGTATTTATATTATTGAATTGATTATGATTATTAGTAGAAGTAGTTTATTTGCATTAATTATATTTTAATCTTTTTGAGGCTAGTATTTGGCAGGAAATGCAGACGTATTAAACAGGAATTATATTTGCAAAGTAGTGGTTCGGGGGGGGGCCTCATCTCACAATGTCGCTTGGGGCCCCAAGTTGGCCAGGGGCGGCCCTGAGTGAGATTTTAGGCAAAATAACTGCCAAACGCTAGAAAACAATATGATGGAATACTTTAATCGGTCTGTGTCACTGTCAAATCACATCATATATAGAATTGGAGGAATTAAATAGAATTGGAGGGATGAAATTCTCTTTAATGGTCACACATGCAGAGCACACAGCACACACAGTGACATTTGTTCTCTGCTTTTAACCCATCCTAGGAGCAGTGGGCAGCTATAGTACAGCGCTCGGGGAATGTGTCACATGTCACAGCATGTCATTAAGAAATTTGGATAATCTAAGAAAGTATAACAGTTAAGAGACCCATCAGATATAATAAGCACCAGGCTTACCTATTGACGTCCACTATTTCTCAGACTTATGTACAGTACAAGCCTTACTGTAATATCTGGATTTCAATCCTACAAAAAGATAACCTTCTTTTTATCGTTACTAAAGGAATAAAAACCTACATATGCCCAGATTGTGCTGGGTATCAGATGTTAAAAGAACAAAAACACACACTGACCGTGGGTTATATCACGGATGATGTGTAATGTGTATTTTATCTTTGAATAATGAACATGGCACACCACAACAGGAGCTATTAAAGAAGCCAAAAAGAGCAGCTAGTGCCTCTGAGTTGACAGATTACACCATGTGTAAACATGTCTGTGTGGAGTGTCTGGAATGGGTATTTACTAAATCAACACATTTGAACATGAAAGTCCATCATTTGGAAAGAACAAATAGAGAACAAGGTGTGGATTATCGTAAAATAGCTATTGGCTTGTGATCCCTTAAAATAAATCCATATCTGGGCTACTTATATTGCCACTACCAAAGTGATCTTTTAAAAATAATTTGTTCTTTTCATATGGTTTTATTGAGTTTTCCTTACACCTGGTTTAGAAATCTATAAAATATAATAGGTCGAGCAACATTGCTGCAGATTTGAGAAAAATAAATAAAATTGTGCAATATAAGAATACAAAAACATTGATCATTTGATATGGGGATACAAAGTTAGAATTCACATAAGATATAATATGATGTGTTGCGTTTGATTTGACAAAATAGTGTCTTTCTTTGTGAAAAAAAACAAACATTATTTATATTTAAATTACAGTTATTGATGATATGCACAGGAAAGTTTGGTCTGGTCTAACTGTCTATCAAACGTTGTGCAATAACAACAATGTACATCATACATAATATACAATGCATTGACTCAAAGGACTTAATCTTGTGTCCCGTGTTATTGCACAGCAATATTTGGGGTGGCGCGTCTGTCGCCCGTTTGTTTTGCTGCTCGGAGGCTTCTGCATAGAGATGGCAAGAGAACCCTAGCAGGCTGTGGGGCCTATACGGTTGGGCTTTCTACCGAAAACCGTAACGTTAGTAGCGCAAAGACGCAGTTGGTAGGAAAGGATCGGAACAGCGGATAAGGTAAAACAAAGCAGCCTAGCTAACTTAACCAATACCAAACAATTTCTTGTAATGTCAAAAATGAGTCCTTTACAAGTCTGTATTCCGCATCCTGTCAAACTGTTTTGACTAACGTTAGCTCAATTATGGCGAACAGCTAGCAAAGCTTCTAAATAACGTTGAAACCGTTAGCAAGCCGGCTAGTTGGCTGTAGTTGGATAATAGCTTACTTGGCTAAGTTTGTAATGTTAGCTTGCTAAACTAGCGGTGTCTGCTTTACTGCAAGATGTACTGCCTAAACAAACACCTATAGTACATCAATTATGTGAGGATATTACCACCTGGCTAGCTAGTTATATTTCGTAATGGTGGAAGGATAGTCAGCCAGCGGTACGTTCTTAAGTCAAACAAATGTCACTAAAACGGGGATTTTTTTAATGGCTAACCGTAAGTGGGCTAACTTACTGATAGCTAACAAGCTGACTAGCTATAGTTGCAGACTACTGCTGGTAGCTAATAAATGTCGTTAGCAGTTACTGTACCTATATGACATGTCTGCTGCATACATAAGCTTAACGTTAAACATGGCCTAAATTGAGACTTCTATCCGTAGGAAAATTATTTGCCTATCAAGTTTACGTTACCCTTACTTTGTGAGCTAGCATTACCGTTAGCATGTCAGTAGACTACCAAAAGTTAGCCAATGTACGTTAACATTAGAGTTTTTGTCAGTCAGTGTTTGTGTTTACCCAAAAGTCATTGTTAACATAACGATATGGTGTAAATATAGTTTCAAAGTGAGAGCAATCTGCTCGTTTTATTTAATTATCCAAGGGCTTGTTTACTGAACTTTAATAAAAAAAGAAACAAACGTTGCATTTAAAAATGTTTGTCTACACGGTGATTCTTTGCACAATACCTGACTTAAGGCACAAGTAAACACAGGCCTGACATGAGACATATTGTTATCTATGTAACACTGTTTCAATTTTTAATACACCTTCTATAAATACAGAACAAAAACAACGTCCCACTTTCACTCCACAGTCCAGACTGATCATTTTAGGCCCATAGGCCTAATGGTTATGTCCCTAACTATGACTAACTTGGGCTCAGTTAATACCTGATTGGAATCCTTTTCAATACAACTAAAGCCCAGTGTTCTTACATTCATTTTCTTTGGATGGCCTTAGTCTCAAAGAGAAACAGTCAAACATGACTTATTTGTATCAGTGTCTAATGGAAAGATTCTATACTGTCTTGGTGATTGTATTTTAGACAGTCGTTTCACAGCTCAGGCGTTCACAAACTGTATATATTTCTGTATATATTAGTGCTTCAATGGGAGGAAATTACTCACAGGCAGTTGTCACTTCAGCAGCAACTTAATGGTATAGATGACATTTCCATTGCCTCCTGTTGTTATTTAATACAATTCATTTTCTAAGATTCTAGGATCACTAGAGTGTGTTATGGCTTAGTGTTCTTGTTTTGTGCTAATGAGGTTATTACTTATTTATCCCCCAAAACTGGGGTGTAAGGTTGAAGGGCAAATGCAAACACCCCCCTTGACATCATTGTCTGTCCAGATGTATTCCAGTGTAGGCAACTCTTAATACTATGTAGCTCTGAGTTTCTGTGTTGGTTTGCAAAACGTGTGACATTAGGGATCCTTAAAGGTATGCTTTGCCACTTTTTATGTGGATATCCAATCAGCATTGATGGATTATGTTGTCGATTGAAGCAATACAATCTTTGATGCCTGTAATATGAAGAACCTCTGATTTTGTACAGTAACTACTCCAGGACAACACTATCCAATTGAGGCGCATCGTAACCTTTTTTACACAATGGAACTTACAACAAGTACATAAAGTCTGTTTCTTAATGGCACCTACAACACTCCCCCTTACACAAAAAAACCTGAGCTTAAGTAGTTTGTTGTTCTTCATGCCTCCAGACGTCACTTGCACGTCAAATGATGCTGCTTGATGTAGGAAGAACAGATTTTACTGCTTTATTTATAGAGAATGTTTTACTCAAAAACACCGCTGTACAGCCTTACAAAAGAACTGGGCACATTGCAGTGAGTGATCAGACAGGTTCAAAACAGGTTCAGGTAACTCAACAGCTGAAAAGTGAAAACAAAGTTGACCACCCTTCAACTGTTTATTATGTAATTTTGCTTCTGATAGCAAAAACCCTGAGTACCCTTAATGTGACATAGTAGAACCAGGAAGTAAAAAACCATAGTTACGTTAGAGCAGGGGTGGGGAACCTCCGGCCTCCGGGCCGTATACGGCCCGCGAGACCATTTGGTACGGCCCTCGGGGTAATTTATAAACACACGCAAAAAAGAAAAAAATTCAAGAAATCTAGACCGCAAAATAATTAAACAAGCTTGTTTTTCCTGGCCAAGTTCAGGGTCCTTGAACACAACACGAGCCTAACGTGTCATCACGTGGTATATGTCTCGTCTGACTGGAGTGTAGTTCTAACGGAGAGCACCAGAACGCGGCTCCGGGCCGGGACTTCACAAATTGCAATACCCATAAGGAGCTGTACACATGCCGCAGTTTTTGCGTGGCTGTGTCTTTAGTTGAAAGCCCAGTGGCGATCTGTCATACTGATCAAATAGTCAATAACGTTGTTGTTATTAGCATCTGGTTAGCTAGCTATGCTAACGAATATAAGAAGCTTTTTCTCCAACCAGTGAGGTAAAGGCACATCTTTATATGATCATTATAGTTATAGAAAAATAAGAGAATAAAGTAAACAGTTATACAATACTAATATGACAGTAAAAAAAAAGTTGTTATTAATAAACAAGAATACAGTTTAAAAAGGAATGGATTTGTAAAATATCCATAAAGAAACAAATCTGCTTACAGTTCTGTTTCATATGGGTGTTGAGAGATGTATCCATAGATCTCTTCATGTTGCTCTCAAAGTGCACCAGATTGATGCTTTTAACTTCAACATTTAAAAAAAATCTTCATGGTGGTGCATGCCCCCAAACCCCCCTAGATGAGGTCAGATCCNATCTTACCTGGTGGTGCATGCCCCCAAACCCCCTACGATGAGGTTAGATCCACCCCCCCACCCACTTAAATCATGTCCACATGGATATGAAACTAAATACATTTGCACACATCTTGTGTCCATATCTTTCTGTTTTGGTGGTCATGCCACGGTGCATGAATGCGCGGGTCATGGTCAAATATCTGGATTAAGAGGTTGCTTTTTCTTTGCACAGCATGAAAGAAACGCGAAATGAATGGGCTGTGATTTGAGTTTTTTAAGCAGACGTTGAGTTCAATCATTTGTACGGCCCTCGAAGGATGTTGTAAAAATTGAAATGGCCCTTGAGAGGAAAAAGGTTCCCCACCCCTGCGTTAGAGCCTAATAAACTCTGTTATTCCTGTGAGGTCTGACGTTACCCCTGAAAAATAAATAGTTTAATGGCTGGCTTCTACTGTAACAAGAATCCTTTTTGAATGCCTGCAGTATGCGCTAACTAAGTTCAGCCTTCTCCTAAAAATGTGCTCTTTTGTCTTTTTAGAAGAACCATGGGACACGGAGTGGGCTGAACCAGAGGGTCTAGCAGCACACGCCAATTGTAAGTATAAATTGTGTTGATTATAATATGGGAAGCAATTGAGAGGATAAACAAATCATAGACGTAATGAAATAAAATGTTAATAGCTAAGAGCTGAAAGAACTTTAATCACAAACTTCAACCAAATATTTCAAATGTGTAGAAACAGCTTTTCACAGCCTGTATTTTTATAGGAACCCTGCTAAGTTTACGTTTTTCCTTTTTATGATTTTACTGGCTATATGTCTTGTGGGTTTGAAGTTTGCTTTATTTGTCTGTGTGGTTTTGAAGGGTTCCCACAGTGGTATATGACATGGCCACGGCCTCATCCAGAGCAGAGTCCAGCCATAACCACAGAGGAACGACACAGCTCCATGCCATCGGTGAGTCCCGGACACTGTACTGGAATTGCAGTGTTGCTTTAGGGGCTTGACCCTGTCCTTTCCCTGGAGAGCTCATGTTGAATCACTGTGTATCTGAATGATATTGTCAACTTTATAGGGAATTTGTCAAATGTTTAAGAGGAAAAAATCACTACATACTGTTAACTTCCCTTTATGTACACACCACCAGTTTCCTGTGCCAAAATCAAGAGGAAGAAGAGCCTGTTTGGGACAGCCATTTATGTGGAGGTGACAGCGGAGGGGCAGTCGCGCCGCACAGCAAAGTCTCACAGCTCCTCCAGTCCTAAATGGGATGAGAGGCTCACTCTGTAAGAAGCAACAGTTTACCTCTTTTGTATCTGCTTGTCTGTGTGTGTGTCAGAGAATGTTATATACAAAAGTTCACCTTCACAGTGTGCTTCCTAAATGAGTGCCAGGGACAACTCGTGAATCTCCAGTCATTTTAGAATTCAGAGGAGATAAAACTAGAGACAGATCTCTGAGGTTTTCCCATAGTCTGTCGCACTGAAAGTAGACAGTGGGTACAAGCCTTCTTACAAGATATTTGTTCTCCTCTTCCCAGAGCTTACCACAACAATATGCAGTAGATCACACTCTGATCAACGTCGTTCAGAAGATCGTGATCGTGAGGGAAACCGAGTTTATAACAGGTGTTTTCAAAAACAATGCAATTCCTGGTGTGGTTCGTAAATATAGGTTTAAGAAATGCAAACAAGCCAGTGGGTTTTTCCCCTAATAGCAAATATTGCGTTTCTTACAGCACTGTGGAGATATTTGTTGCTATGCAAGAATAGTCATCTCATACTCCCCCTAAAAAGAATATTCCTAGAGAGTCATGTTAACCTCCAAATGGCCCTTGATCATGAAAAGCTGATGAGATAAAGATAGGCCTGTCGCGATAATTAATTTTGTTGGACGANACACGCGTCCTTTCTCCCACATAGCCGGTTGTTTTCTCTTACTCCCCTGGCGACTAGTTCGGCCCCATGAAATAGAGCTCGTCTACCCAGCTACTAGTTCCGATAATATTGTTGGCACTGTTGTAAGACCATTTTAGACCACTGAAATAATGATAATGTATAATAATAATTCAAGTACCGGTACATCCTTTCAAACATAACTTTTTATTGAACATTCAACATTGCAAATGAAATGTGAAATAATATTCAAATATATAAATGATATATAATAAATGAAACAAATGTATTAAATTATAAAAAATGTATTAAATCACACACAACCAAAACAATAAATTAAATAGACTCAGGCTGGAAAACAGAGCTCTATCTATCTATCTATCTATCTATCTATCTATCTATCTATCTATCTATCTATCTATCTATCTGTTGGTAGGTACACACACACACACACACACACACACACACACACACACACACATTGTCTCACAAGCAAAACAAACCTCCTTAAAGCAACAGTCATGTGTACAGTCCACTGTCCATACAAAGACCCAGTTGCCTCAACAGGCCATATCCAAATCTGTATTTCAAAGTTTTCGAGCAAGGAACACCGACATGTTTGCATTGTCGGACAAATGCATCTTTGATTGTAAACTGTCGGGAAGGTGAGGGCTCTCCATCTCCAGCTGCCGTGTTTGCTCCCAGCTGGGAAAACGGAATGGGGTGGTTATGTTTCAGGTGCAGTTTAAGGTTGGTCGTATTGCTAGCTTTTGTTGCTACCTTTTTTAAACAAATGCGACATAACGGCTCATTCAAGTCCGTAGGTTTGCCTCTTTGATTTGGCTTAAATCCAAAATATTCCCACACCGGAGATGTGGAATTAGGTTTTGCAACCAATTCCATTTAACTTCAAATTCCCCTCGAGTAAGACACACGTTGTCTCCTGCTTGTCTCTATATTATTCCTTTGGCTGCTACGCTGCTGCATGCGGAGTGCCCTGACCTGGCTGTGTGTGATCCCCGCCCCTCACAGCACGCCTGGCCGGCAGACACAGCTCGCCTGGCTAAAATGCTGGTCACATCCTTATCTATACAAACACGCATGTAAACGGCAATTTATCGAGGTCAGAAAAGTTATGGAGTCCATTTTTATTTATGGTACGAGAAGTCAATTTATTGCTTATCGCGACAGGCCTAGATAAAGATAGAAAACAGATCTGTCCTCCTTTCTAGCTATTTTTCTGTTTACAGTGTATCCTTATGTAACACACACAAGGTTGGTGGGTTCATGTGATAATTATTGTAACAAGGGAAATGTTGTATGACAACACAAAGAGCTCATTGTATTATTTTAAACTTTTACAGCTCTTTGACCGGGTGGCCTGGCTAAATGCCAGAGACAATGCTTTATTTTTTTGATTGGGTAATTATTGCGAGCAGAACAGAGTGGTGCTGTCTTTGTGATCCTGTGTTTGCACCGTGGATGTTTGCCAAGCTGTTGTGAGTCCTACCCACGGCGTCTAGGCTATAAGCCTAGATATTTATCTTCAGACTGATGCGCTAAACCTTGAAAACATTGACTGTTCATTTTTTTGAAGCAGCATTATGTGAGCAGAATATATCAGTCATTCCTGCAGCAAGGACACGTCCAGTCTGTACTTGAGCAATGCTATCTTTTGACTGTTGGCCTTTTTTCTTATTAAGTCGTAAATATGTGCAAGTTTTGTTAAAGGTTTAAAGATTTACATATGTGTATTTCTTTTTGTCGTTGACCTTTTTAGGAATGTAACACCGCACACGCAGGTTGATTTCAGAGTATGGAGTCACCACACCCTGAAGGCGGACGCTTTGCTGGGCAGAGCCACACTGGACCTCACTCAAGCCTTGGAGCAGCATGACAGGAAATGTATGATAGGCCACATCAAACATACAGACCTGTATTATAATATAGGGTTGGATGTTTTAATTATTTAAAAATACATTTGTGGCATAGTGACTAAAGTACCAGACCGATGCAGACTCAAGAACTGTACAGTTGGACTAGCTAATGAGAATTATTACAGTTTTTTAATAATCCGAATCACAATGACAACATTTCTTCTTGTTAAGGTTAACGGATATCAGATAAATGTGTCTCTCCCACTGATAGGATGCTATAAAAGAAGCATGGTTTGCTTTATGTTTCTCTTGGTTCAATCTATTGTTTTTCCTCTTCCCACACCATCCCTGTTTGGGCTGTACAGTGGAGAATGTGAAGGAGGTGCTGAAGCTGAGCGTGGAGCAGAAGGGGGCTGTGGTTCCCACAGGAGAGCTGACTGTCTACCTAGACGGTCTGACTGTTACTGACCAGGAGGAACTGGCACCGCTTACCAACGGCAATGCAGCAAACGGCACCAGTGAGCTGAGTATGTTAACAGCGGGGGTGGGTGATAGTGGTGGGTTGGCCAATTTTCATTACAATGTGTACTGGTGTATGACGAGGAAGCACAGGGAGAGAAAAAAAGCCACAGATGCATGCACACAGATGAATATACTGGTACTTTATCACCTAACCCATACCCTCAATCACTTATCAACTATTCTTTTTTAAATGATTCTCTAAATATGCACTTTATATCTTGCATTGTTTTCTCCAACCCCTAGAAGTCCAACAGAATGGCGATGCCATCCATGAAAATGGAGACTCATCCTCCTCTTGCTCAATGGCTGCCAGCAGGTAAACAAACATTTGAGTCATGTGATGAACACAAGGGCATATTTTACATTATTGTCATACATATCCTTTATTTATATATGCGTTTGAACCCTGGCATTCCCCTTCTCTTGCTTTTAAGTTATTGTGCTGCCCTACTGATATCAGTCTCTTAGTATTTGTCACACGGCGAAAGTGCCCTTCACTCCAAATGTGTTTTTTTTGTTGTAAAGCCACTAAGGAATCAAGTCTGCTCAAGCAACAGACGGGAGGTTGGGGTGAGGGGGAAGTGGCTGCCTGGCTCCTCTCTGCATTGCAGTTGCTGAGAGGACTGCAGGCACAAACAGGGGTATATTTTAAACCTGGCAGTGTTTCCCCTCCCTGGGAGTTCCAGAAGAAAAAAAAGGGCTGTTTTAATACAGTTATGGTCTCATAGTTTTAAGGCTGCTTTAATACATCATGGTGCTAATTTTGGGTGGAAAATGTGTCGGTATAGTATAGTAAGATTGTGTTTTGCAGATATGCCGAGAAGTAAAATCAGAGTTCACCTCATTCATGACCCTTTCTGACTTTCCCTTCTTGGTTGTTGGCTTGTATTTCTGATAATGGAGTTGTATTGCTGGCAGCATTCCAACCTCTCGCCTAGACAATGCCTGGACTCGAGTCATACGACTGTTTTTGTATTGGTCTTGGTGTGGGAGCGTCTGTGGCACCTTTTTAACTCTCCCGGCTCACAAAAGGGCCTCTGCTGCTGTGCCAATTACATCACTAAGCCATCCTATTCTGTCCTGTCCTTACCCCTACAAGACAACAGTCTCAATGTCAAGTCAGTCTTTAATCTGACACACACACACACACACACACACACACACACACACACACACACACACACACACACACACACACACACACACACACCTGTTTTGGGCCTGTAGTAAAAACGAAAAGTTATTGGCTCTTAAAATTATCATTATAGTGATAGAATGTTATGTGTTGTGTTTGCGTATCAAGATCAATGTTTTTGAACTTCTTCTGTGTTTTCCTTAAAGCACAGTGAATGGTACAGACTTGCGCCCAAGGTCCAGTTCCTGTTCGGCAACCAATGGTTTGGGCTCTCAGGTGCCTTCCAGTTCCTGCAGCGCTTCCCTTGGTCACGTCATCGTCAATGGAGACGTCACACCCAACTCCACCCCAGTCCACCGACCCTTAGACAGTGACCCCGAGAGTAGGACAGGTGAGCTTCTTCTTTATGTCCGAATTACAGTATCTGGGATGGTTTCAAATCTTATCACTGGGTTCTTCGTTAACTGAACATTAGTTTAACAACCCATTATCAAGTGAATACTCATCAACTAGGTGTATTCCTTCATGCAAAAATGTCGGACGTCAGTTTCATATCATATTAAACGGAACATCTTAAAAGAACAAATAATTAAACTTGGACTGAAGGAAACTGGGATGGAGATTTCTCAATATTTGTGTAAAATGCATAACTTTTCCTGATATCATGTCATGGGTGGGTGAGGTATTAATCCATGCATGTGAACAGCACCTTTGTCTTTCTCTGACCTGCCTGCAGTCAATGGAGAGTCCTGTGACGCTGCTCTCAGGCCATCGTCTGCTACAACAGGAGAAGTGCCGCCCCCTGCAGATGACCAGCAGGACTGCAATCAAGATTCCGCCCCGCCAGATCCCAACACAGCGCCAGACGAGACCTCCCAAACCCTGCTAAGCTCCACACAGGCTCCAGCCTCCTCCTCTGCTAAGCCTACTGATGGCACTGCTGCTGCTTCCTCCACTTTCAGCTCCCCGCAACAAGGGCCCCCCGCCATCACAACCTCCTCATCATCGACCTCCCCGCCCCCAGCAATCGGAGACGAGAATGCTTCAGCAGAAGGCGGTGGCAGCAGTAGCAGCAGTACAGCCGTAACTACAGACGGGGCCAAGCCCAGGGAACAGGCCCCTAATGCTGGAGCCCCTGACCCTCTGCCTCCAGGGTAACAAATACATCTGCTTTCACTGACGTTCACATTCCTTTTTTTTTAACCGAAGCAATTATAATATTAAGTGTCAAACACCCGAAACACAGTCATATTTCGCAATAATAGTTAAACTTGTTATTACTACATTTCTCGTCATCTTTGTCCTTTCTAACAACTTAATGTAGCTTTTTGTTTCAATCCTTCTTTTGTCCCCCTCATTTATCTGTTTTTTAGGTGGGAGCAGAGGAAAGACCCGCATGGGAGAACTTATTATGTCGACCACAACACCAGAACTACCACCTGGGAAAGACCACAGCCACTACCACCAGGGTGGGTGCCTCTCTCTTGCTCACTTTCTGTGGTCATCACCATTTCTCAGAAATGTAACTTTAATGGGTCCATCAGTACGTTTTACCAGTGGATTTTTGCCTTTCTTACATCGGTCTCCATTATTGGTTACTTTCACTTTCATACATTCATTTGAAGCTTGCATTTTGTGTGCCTGTGTGCTAATTGTCTCCTTCACTCTGCCAGTTGGGAGCGCCGGGTAGATGACCGGGGAAGGATCTATTACGTGGACCACAACACCCGCACCACCACATGGCAGCGTCCCACCATGGAGTCGGTCCGCAACTTTGAGCAGTGGCAGAGCCAGCGCAGCCAGCTGCAGGGAGCTATGCACCAGTTTAACCAGAGATACCTCTACTCTGTAAGTCAACCCCCACCCTTCCTACATCCTCATGTCCCCTTAACCCAGGGGTGTCAAACTCAATTTCATCGCGGGCCACATTAGCATAAAGGTTGCACTCAAAGGGCCGGTTGTAACTATATAAATATATAATATATAATATATATATATATATATAGAATAATGTATTATATTACATTATTGCCTCTGAATTGGATTATTATCGGATTGGATAATAACTTAGTCATTAACTACGTCTGAAAGCAGAAGTCCTGGGCAAATAATTGCTAGTAGGCTTGTTTGAGACAAGCGAGACCTGCGCAATTTCGATCAACGTCTTGCTCGTGCGTTGCATGATGGTTAGTCATTTTGTCCGACTTGCTCTGGAGGCTCGCCTACATGAGACGTTGAAATCTCGCGGGACAAAGAAGCCTGCGCAGCCTTGAGAGCGAGGCGCGGCGAGGCGGCGCAGTTCCTTTCCACGGGCTGCGGAAGAGAAATGCTTGATGGGAAACGACTCGCTGGTATCTGCAGCTGAGCGCTCATTGGTGGTTTTGACCCCGTGCTGCTGATGAAGCTCTCCAATTGGCTCGGCAAAAGTTTGTTGTCGTTTTGTGTCAGTTTTACGTCGCCCCCTCCATTAACATTTTTCATAATTGTTCCACAATGTTTATCATCTTGAAATTAATATCTATATATGTTATACTATACTTGCACTGCTTACTGTTTTCATACTTTATATATCCTTGCATATTCATACACACTGTTCATACTGCTCACAGGCTGCTGTGTATATTCATACCCCTCACTGTTTATTCATCATTCAATTAATTCTATTTTTTATTCTGTAGATTGTGTACATTACTTTTCACTTTACTGCTTGTTGCACTCCTGGTTAGAAGCTAAACTGCATTTCGTTGTCTCACTACCTGTAATATGTGCAATAACAATAAAGTTGAATCTAATCTTGAGCGGGAACAAATGTATTTTTAGTACATATCTGACATTAACGATTAACGAACACATGTGTGCATTCTTTATAAATGCAAACCGAGTCAAGCCAACTCCGGAGGTGGCTGTATGCACCTTAAAGTTGTTTGCAATCCGCCAAAAGACCGAGAGAAGAAGAAGAAGAAGGCGAAGAAGAAGAAGCCGACTCGGAGCTGTCCGACTTCAGGCGAGATTTTTGAGACCTCCCCCGGCTGCGATTGGCTATTCTCGTCTACTTTTGAGGCGAGCCGCAACGCATCTCAAACAAGCCTAATAATACATTTGATTTATATAGCACACTTTAAAGACAGCGTCATCTCAAGGTGCTTCACAAAGCTATAAGGAAAAATAAGTAAAAATATACCTAAAGGAGCATTTTGGATAAAATATGGCAATATAATAACATAAAAATAAAAGGTTAAGAGCATAAAAGGTTTAAAAATAAATAAGTAAATAAAGTAAAGGACAGTCAGTAAAATGCGGTGTGGTGGGTCTTGAGGCATTTCCTAAAAACTGAGTGTGGTGCCGAGGTCCGTATGTTCTCTGGAAGCTGATTCCACAGACGTGGACCCAGGGAGGAGAAAGAACGGTCTCCCATGCTGACCAGTTTTGTCCGCGGGACAGCCAGGAGATTGGAGCTGTCTGGCCTGAGTGTGCGTGAGGTATGGGAATGTTTGTTGGTTAGCAGTTCCTGTAGGTAGGTGGGGCCAGTGTGTTTGGCGTTGAAGACCATTATGAGGACTTTTTAGTTGATCCGGTGTGTTACAGGGAGCGAGTGGAGTGAGTGAAGGATGGGGGTGATGTGCTCTGATTTGCGTGTTTTTGTGAGTATCCGGGCAGCACAGTTTTGTACATATTGTAGTCTCTGAGTGGTTTTTGCTGGAATGCATGCAAGCAGAGAATTGCAGTAATCAATGCGGGAGGTGATGAAGGCATGGACCAGTTTTTCTGCATCCGGTTTGGTGAGGGAGTGTCGCATTTTGGAGATGTTTCTCAGGTGGTAGTATGAGGCTTGGCAGACCGTCTTTATGTGTGCTTGGAATGAAAAGGATGAGTCCAGTTTCACACCTAGGCTTGTTACAAGTGGNATGGTGCTACTTTTCCAGTTGGTCTACCTGCTCTTCACGTAGCTCTGCATGTCGTCGGTTAGGTGCTCTCTGTTGATAGGCACTGCTCAATCCACTCCTCCATACTATAGTAAGACCCCCCCCGGAGGTCGAAGTTAATCTGAAATGTTTCCATCTTATGCTTTGTAAGTTTGTTTCGTAACGGAAGAAATTTAGATATATTTATAAAACTGACAAGTCAAATCAAGCAATCTGATTGGTCGATAGCGTTTTTGCGGACCTCTTTGATTACAGATTTGAAAACATCGTTGCTTGCTTTAAAAGTAGCACAATTTATTATGTTAAACCTTCAAAAGTATCTAGATATCCCTGCCCTAATGCCAAAGGAACTGCACACTGAATATGTTTTGCCGTTTGATGTCTATGTCTGGACCGCTGCGTCAAAAAGGAGGGCTTCTGCCCCATTACTTCTCCGCTGCTTTCTTGTTTCAGCCCAACGGTATACTGTTTTTCTCAGACGCGGAGGGATACTGACTTGTTGTGAAAAGTAACTTACAATTCTACCCGTGGTATACGCTCAGTATATCACGGCTAAGAACCAATCAGATTGCTTGATTTGACTTGTCCGTTTTATAAATATATATATATACCCTCATCACATCATTTTGAGATCACATGATTTTGAGTACATTTTAAACTAACAAAGTATATTTTTGCAGCCTTATGGCAGAGTGGAGGTTCTCCCGCGGGGTTGAAGGTCAGACCAAAGCTTTTCTGGACGGCTTCAACGAGGTGGTTCCACTTCAGTGGCTCCAGTACTTCGACGAAAAGGAACTTGAGGTGAGCAGCAGATCCTGATGCTGGTAGTGCAACGACGAGCTGTATTTGAGGCTAATGACCATGTTTCCGTTGTGCCTTTTTGTTTTAATGCCAATAATCTGCCCGACTCCGCAGAGCTTTGAACCCAATCATCATTACTTCAAATACTTCGTCGATTGACTTTGATGTGTGTGTTTGATCCAGGTGATGCTGTGCGGCATGCAGGAGGTAGACCTTCAGGACTGGCAGAGAAACACAGTGTACCGTCACTACACACGGAACAGCAAACAGATCATCTGGTTCTGGCAGGTACGGTCAAACTAACTCAGACCTCGTTTCAAAACTGGGTACAATTATAAACCCAACTCTCGTTTACGATCCCATTCCCCATTTGTTGAAAGGATTTCAGATTTCAGGCACAATTGTGGTAAAATCAGCGTAGCAATGGACAGGTTTGGCATATCAAGATGCTGAATAAATGGCATGATGATTACATGTGTGCCTCCAGCCTTGTCTCAGTTAAATGCCACTCTCCAGCTTTTTAAGTGAATGTGCCATAAGCATGCTGACTGCACAAATGTCTACCAGATCCTGTGAAGTGAACGTTCATTCCAATACCATTTATTCATTACCGTTTATTAGAAATGTTTCAGGCCATCTGATGGTTGACAGCCTGTCTGGTCAGTAGTGTGTGGACCCTGATGAATGTGTGTGTGGTCACTTCCTCCTGCAGCTGGTGAAAGAAGTGGAAAACGAAGTGCGGCTGCGGCTCATGCAGTTTGTCACTGGTACCTGCAGACTCCCTCTGGGCGGCTTCGCTGAACTCATGGGTCAGTGACACGCAGAGCCTCACAATTATTCACACAACAAGAGTTGCACATGCAAACTACGCACTTGTCTCTCTTTTGTTTTAAATGTCCTCCTCTTATTTGGCATCACAGGAAGTAACGGGCCGCAGAAGTTCTGCATTGAGAAGGTGGGGAAGGACACGTGGCTTCCTCGGAGCCACACATGGTGAGTAGAAAGCTCTACCGCTGATGAGGGATGAGCCATTTGGAAAATATCGCAATTAATATTGCAATTAGTTTGAATGATTTCGCAATAACAATGTGATTTTAGTTATTAGAGGAAACAATAACTACTCTCATTTCTCAAGTATATTAAATTGATCTTTTTATCCAAGGATCTTAACCAAAAAAATAAATAAATTGTACAGTCTTTAAAATCGGGGACCAGAATTTTGCCTATATGTGATTTCAGCAAACGACTATTCACAGGGATTTGCTGTGATATGCTCTGACTGGACTGATATCTAACACCTCCATTAGCTTCACAGAAATATTCCAGTCACTGCCATTTGTTCAATGAGTACGTCAGGAAAGTAAATGAAAGATTTACTATAAAAGCTTTCAATATCCTTTGGTTTAATATGTAATCAATGCGAGGGAAAGCAAACTAACTAATTCATCGAATAACTAAGACTCCATACTTTTGTGCTGACCTTTCATCCTCCCCTTTTGTCTCAGTTTCAACCGCCTGGACTTGCCTCCCTATAAGAGCTTCGAGCAGCTGAAAGAGAAGCTGCTCTTTGCCATCGAGGAAACCGAAGGATTTGGCCAAGAATAGAGGGAGGAGTCCTCTCCCATTTCCCTCCCTCTCCCATCGCTGTTTATTCAGCCAAGTAAAACAAAAACAAAAAAAGAATTGCACAAGATAACCACCAATGTATATAAGCTATTTTGTCATTTTAAACCAAATCTTAATTTGCAGCATCGTTTTTGCCGCAATCCTGTTCCCTCCTATCCCTTAAAATATTATATGAAACCCCATCATGAAATATGCAAGCATTTCAGCCTTTCTGCTCCTCTGTATACAAACAGAATTCTTGGATACTTTTTTTCTTTTTCTCCCCACTGCATCTTTTTAAAAGAGACTAAAAAGTGTTTTGGAGAGGATTTTATAGTTGAAGCGCGATCTTCTTTTAAAGCTCTAGTTCTATAGAGCTTCTAACTGGCGAGAGTAGTATTGGGGTCTGGTGCCTGAATTTATTTCCCCCCCCTGTTGAATCATAGTCATTTTTTTTTGCGTGCTTGCATGACTGCCTGTGAAGAAAAGAAGATGCTGAGACCCACTGTACACACACAGACATTTCAGCATGGACGCTTTGTTGCTTATTGAGCCCTCTTTCCTTTATCATCAAAAGTGTTTGGGGATATACTGCAGAGAGAAAGCCTCTCACTAAGCACCATCATCTGTCCTTGGATAAAGATGGGAGTTCATTCATTTAGCAGAGAAAGGCTACTAAAAGAGTGAGCCAAGCCACCTACCCTGCTGCCTAATGACTCAGTTAGCAAGCCAGTCTACACGCTCAGTTTTTATTTAAAGATTAAGCTGTTTCAACAAAAACAATTCCACAAAAAAGTAAAAAAACGACTGGCTCGATGGGTCCTGTGTGCTTGGCTGATGATCTAATGCCTATGAAGCCACTGTGGATAAGACAGCCAATGGCATCCTTATTTGATCAAAGGTACTTCAACCCATCTGTTATAGGTATTATAATAGTAAAATATATTATAATTAAATAAAAAATGTTAATCAGAAACCAAACACAGCATATGATATTTAGCCATCTTGTGTTGTAATTAGGTCTAAAGAGCATCTCCTTCAAATTAATGTACATCTGTGCACGAACTTGAAGACACTGTTCTCGTTTATTACTCAACTGAAGCTAATATGGCATCAAAAATGTCAAAGTTACATGGAAATGATATTCAGGTCATAAAGGAGGTTATGGACTTAAAAAACCTTTCATAAGTCATGTCTTAAATGGTGCATGCAGTGAGTGCAAACTGAGTGTGAACTGGCCAGGTCAAATAAAAATAGGCATTAAACAAATCTTTGTGATGGGAAGTGATGGGCTTCAGAAAGTAGTGACTGGGTCATAAACCTGTATGTGATTGTTAGAATGTAACAATACTGTCAAATTTAAGTCTGTGTGTAATGGAGACAAAATAACTTTGCAGCCATGCTGAGCCTACTTTCTGGATCGTACCATTTAATTGATCCAGCCCGTGTTCAGTCTCATTCCTCCTGAGGTGAGCTAGCTTTAGTTTTTAAAACAGACGTGTGTTCATCCCTTAGGTTGCAGGAAAATAGCCTTTAACATACAAATAATGATTAACAAGACACTAAAGTGCCACAGACCAAATAACGCAACTCCTCAGCAGCCTCAAGCCTGTTTGGAGAGTGATGAGACTTCTGTGTGTTTTTAATTTTTTGCACCCCCACTTTCCCCTTTCCCCTTTATCTCCGTTAACTCTTCAGGGGACATGTCGTTTGCTTTCATCGTCTAACCATCCATTGTTTCTAAGCTCTGGTGCTCATTCTTTCAGTCAGTGGTCTAAATGCAGCTATGGCAGCGGCATGCCATTTTCCTTTCTCTTCTATGGCGTTATGTTGTCAGGCCACTGCAGCAAGCTGACTCTTCTTCTAGGAGGAGCTATCAGTCATGTATAAAACACGTTCAGCTGACGACAGTATGAAGAAAACATTTACTGTAGCAAAAGGAGCCGACTTAAGAGAAGTCAAAACTGCAGAACTTTGTGCTTCCTTAATTTGAACAGAAACATGTAATCAAAGAAAATCAACTGTGTATGTGAATATTCATTGTATAAAGATAATGAAAGTAAATAAAGTACTTAAATATTATAATTATTTACACAGAGCCGCCGCTCCATTGATGGAAATCTGTGATGCCTTTTTGTTTCTATCAGAAATAGATGGGACGTTTCAGGTTGCCTTCACTGCAGCCAGTTAGAGGAAGTTTCACCTGGAGAGAAACGTGGAGTCATGTTACTGAACATCAGTCAGTATGTGCTCATGCAGCAGGGATCTTGTTTCTGTGCCGACTGCAGCGTAGGCCACCTGAAACGCGTATCCAACCTGTAACATATCGCGTGTAGATACACACTGTAAACACCAACTACACTGTACAGAATGCCCCTTTACTGGAGACCATGTGTATAGAAGATTCATTTTTAATCTGCTTTCAACCCATTTTAATGGAGAGATGGATTTATGAGATACAAATAAATAAGTAAATAAACCCCCTCCATGACCATGCCTTTTTCTTTTTTCCATGTGTGATTATCGGGGGACGAGAGACCTTCTGCTCAGGATTCACAACCTTTCTTTTTTTCTGTTCTTAAAGAAAAATCAATGAATGTGCTTTTGGTTTATCCTTTGCTTTGATTGGATCTTGCCTGTCGAAAGAACCATAATAAATAATGTATCTGATTATCTTTAAAGCTGGTTATATTTTTTGTTCAATTGTCAACAAGATCTCAGCAATACAAAGAGGGAATTTCTTAAAATATGGCACACACATCCACTTGGAATGCTGTGGTCCAAAGTTATGATTTTGGTCATATCTTCCTTCTGCTAATTATGAAAATGTTTAATAGGATGAAGTGATCACATTTTGGACAGACGTGGATGCATCTTGAGTGGTTTGCAGAGACAGACAAATGTTAAGACCAGTAATTCTGATATAATTTATTGTTCCAACTATTTACTTATAAAAAAATGAAGACAAGCCAGTTTATTCATTGTCTTAATTTATTTTTTGATTTTATTACCACCAAAGTAAACCAGCACGCTATAGGCATAACACTGGCAAATATGATGTTCTCACTGAAAAGTCCAGTTTAATTCAAGGAATTCAGGCATGACAAAACACAGACAATGTTGAAATTCAGATTCAACCAAAGTCTAAATGGTAAGGCCAAAAGCTGTTTTAATAATCACTAAATCTGAATAAGAAAAAGCAGCTAGCAATAATTAACAGTCAAAGTCCCCAAAGGCATCATTCCACTCGAAGGTACCGGCTTCACACTAGTTTCTTCAAGAGCTCTACCGCCTCTTTATGCACCTGCAAACCAACAAATACACTGATCTGAGTATGTTCACATAAGCACGCACAGTTTCTGCCTGGAGAATAATCTGAGTTTATATAACATCTTGGTTGATTAGTTATTAAAAGACAGTCAATCCAAAGTCCTCAGTGTGTGTACCTCTTTGTCTTCCAGTGTGTGAGCAGGGTACTCTTTAGCTCTGGTTAGAAAGAGAAGCCCTTTCTCTTTCTCCTGCATGCTCAGGTACGTCTTCCCAAGCATTAGCAGGTTTTTACTGTAGAAGTTTGGATCAACTGAAAAGATAAAAACACACAAAAATGTTAATTTACAGCTTCAGTTTTTCCTTAAATGCTTCAGTGACTTGATTCATGTCCCTTGTTTTACCTTCTTCTGCTTTCAGGAAAAATTGCAAAGCCTGAAAGGAACAGAAAAACATGACATGTACCTTGTCACTTGCGCAGTTAGTCACAATTAGGGTTGCAAAGGGGTGGAAAGTTTCAATGGGAAGTTAAGCTGGGGAATTTTGGAAATA